AGGCCAGATTGCTAAATAGCCAAGGTTGTCAGAGATATTCATGAAATGAATATCTTAATTTAAAAAAAAAGTTTCAGTAGCCTTACAAAACCAAAAGCTAATTAATTCTCCATCCCTCTTCCTTTTACAGAGTACCTCTTAGTTCTCAGCGAGGTTCAGGATTTGCTAGTTGAAGGGGCAGACAGTTTGCTCAGAGATAACATGCCTCCTCCTGTCCTGGATGTAATTTCCTAACGTGTTGTCTGCTGTCCAGCAGGAGCTCAGGCATAAAGAGATTGTATACCCACCCTGGCCACCCTCCAGCATATAGCTCAGAGCAGGGTAGCGCTGCTCCTCATTTCTGGGACCTCAGCTCTGAGGGAGACATTGAAACAAGCAAGGACAAACTTAGCTGCTTCTGCTGTCCACCTCTGCTCCCAATTCTCTATGCCATATTAAAAACTTTCTCAATCTGTGTGTATTTGTCAATATTTTATTCTGTTGATTAGTATTCCTAGAATGGTAAGATGGAAATTTTAGTGTCTTTTTCTTATTTAAAAAAAAAAAAAATTGTCTGGTAAAGCTATGTAGCTGATCTAAAGACCTTTTTAGCCAAAATGTAGACCTAATTTAATATTTTACCTGTGCCCCATAATCCTGACCCTGTTACCCATCTAATTCTGATCGTTCATCCTCAGGCATAAATTTTTTTTGCCTGCCATACATCCTTAGCTTTTCAGAAAAGTCAGAACATTGTTTTCCTTCCGCCTGTGAGCAGACTTGGAGCCCCGGAGATGCTGTGATTAAGAGATTGGCTGCTAACCAAAAGGTTGGCAGTTTGAATCCATGAACCGCTCCTTGGAAACCCTATGGAGCAGTTCTACTCTGTCCTATGTCGCTATGAGTCAGAATCGACTTGACGGCAACAGGGTTTTTTTTATGAGCAAGCTTAAAGACAAGTCGGAAGTAGACCTTGGAAATACTAGCATGGTTGTACACTGCAGTCCTCTTTGTATTTCAGCAGACGCTGTGTGTTCTGAGGCATTTCCTTGTAAGAGAAGACTTAGTGATTCTGGATTAATCCTACCTAGAAAAAGCACCATTCCCTAGGGAGGTGTCTCATACCATTCTGAGTGAGGATAGGGCAGGGTTTGAGTAAAGAGTTGAGAACCTCTAGGATGGTCCCTGTGATTTTTCTAAGAGCTTCACAGAATTTGATGCTACTGTCTCTTTGGGCCTGTATAGTATTGAGCCTGGGAATAATCCCTTCCAGGTTCTTGTCAGTGATTTTTAAACGTCCCCATGTTTGACCAAGTTTGCAGAATACAGGAAGTCGCTGTTTTGCATACATGACAAGTTGCATGGAATAACCCTTGTCTGGCACAGGAAAATTGATTCTATTTCATGAGCTTCATAAAAGGAATTTTTAGATTTTGTTTAGGTATGCACTTCAATAACTTGCCAGCTTTTTCTCATTTCGTATCTGTCAAACCTAATATACCAAAAAAAAAAAAAAAAAAACCTTAAGGTAATTCCTTTACTGCTCTTCCTGCCCCATGCTTTCTTCCTCCACCTCACTGCCACAAGAAACCTTCTCAGCTTGGAAGTGTGATAAGACAGAATGGAATCTAATGTATTCGTTGCTGACTTTTTGGTACTATTCAGTTTCTGTTCTTGCTAATTATAATTGAAGACAAATAATGAGGCCTAAAAGACCAGCATTAGAAGACAGAATGTTCTGTATAGATGGCAACTTTTTAAGATATTTCAGGAGCCATAAACTGAAGTAGATAAAGTTCTTTAAATGTTATCAAAATTAAAATTAGCTTTTTGCGAAAAATAGGATTTGGGAATTTTTTTTTTTTGTTAGGACGAGAGAAGGATGTTTGCCTTCCTTTTGCTTCAAAACAGTAGCTTTGTCTCCAGTAAGAACTTGAAGTAATATTTAAGCCACGGATGGGGTGATATCTGAGACATTTCCAGACTATATTTTCCTCACTTTGTGTTAGCTGTCGACTTGATTCTGATTCCTAGCAACCCTATAGGACAGAGTAGAACTGCCCCATAGGGTATATTTGAACACAAGGCTGTAAACGTTTATGAAAGCAGACAGCCAGATCTTTCTCTTGCGGAGCGGCTGGTGGGTTCATACCACCATCCTTTTGGTTAGCAGCCGAGCGCTTTAACCACTGTGCAAGCAGGGCTCCAGAAGGTCTGTCCATTGATCAATCCCTGCTAAATAATTTCTGGGAGAGATTTCTTTCTTCTTCCCTACGTATAGGTGGTGGTTTTCACCTTGGTCACCCATTTTCTATGTATTCTCCTAAGTATTTTGTTGTTAGCTTTGCCTTTGATACACTATGCTAAATCGCTGCTGTCTTGTTTTCCACATTCACCCACTGCATAGTAAACCAAGCATATCCATGCAGGTAATACAATCACAACTGAAGATTTTAAAGCGTTCCCCCAAGGAGTCAGCACTACTTGAGATTCCTGCTTCTGCCCTTGGGGACTTTCACACGTCACGTGGACCTTTGCCTTTCAAGTAATGCAGAGAAATTGATTTTGTGGAATGACTCTCCTACCCTTGGACGTTCGTGATTCGATTGCCTTTTAGATAGATGTGTGTGCATGAGTGATCTTTAAGAATGAAGGGTTTACACACTGATCTCCTCTACTGGTTTGCTTAGTATAACTTGTTATGTGCTGCCTTTTTTAATATCAGCATCTGATCATCCCTAATCATAACGCCTGCGTACAGAATGCCTTTCAGGGGAGATTATACTGGCAGCATGTAGGTGTCAGCATTCCTTGGTGTCTGTAGTTCCTGGACACTAAGTCACTTTTCAAAGCTGGCAAATGGCCTTATCAGCTACATCAACCTCTAGATATCAGTTCAAGCCCTTAAATTCCAGAAAAGAGTAGCCCTAGAGTTTGCATTTTGATGAAAGGTAGTTGCCCAAGTAATAAACTAGCGGCCCTCAGGTTCACCTCTGTCACTTGGTTTTGCTGCTCTCAGTGGATGTTGAAGGCACTGGAGGCCGATGGTGTGGTGTGGTATGTTCTTCTTTTGTGGTGTCAGCGTTCATGAAACAATCTGGAATGTTAACTTTCTCTCTTTAAAAGATAACACATTGCTTTGAGGATGGAGATAGAGTGTAGCTTTTAGACCTTTGAAAAATATCTTATTACTTTCGTTTAAACTGAAATCTGAGTTCTTCCAGCAAATTATTTATTTAGTTTGAATGAGTATAAACAAGTACACTGCCCTGTGAATCGGACAGTAGCATCAAACCAGAGTTCTGATGTGTATTTAAAAAAAAAAAATGTATTTCAGCTGTCTAGGGCTTCTTTAACCTTAATATTAAAAGCATGTGAGTGTTTTATGTACATTGCCTGCCATTTTCAATTTAGGCTGCCTTAAAAGCAAATGCAAAACAGATAACATTCTTGAGAGAAGTGATTGCATTAAACATGTACCATAGGACTCAAAACAACACTAAATGGCTTATGCAACTAGCAGTATAAAACCAAATCCCTCTTTTATAAGATTACATAGGAAGAAAATTAATACAGCTGCCTTCTTGTAGACTATGCTGATTCCCTGAATATCAGAGAAAACATGGCAGGATTCGTTCCAGGGCTGTTACCCATGTGACTTCATAATCCTTAATAAAGAAGATGAGTAAGTTGTAGTTGATACATAAGATTCTCTTTTATGGGAAAAGCCTCTTCATTTATAGTGACTTATGCGTGAGCTTTAAGCAGCCCTTGTTGATGAGCTACACAAGGGGGAGAGTGAATATAGAGCCTCAAACCATTATTTCCCCACTCTTCTTTTTTATGGAATACGGCATTGATAGCTGTGAACATCTCTACAATTTATAGCATCCTTACTAGTTTTCATGTAGAGCAGCAATATCACATCCCAACCCCTGCTGTTGTTTATATCAGCAGCAATTAAAATTTGATTTACTAATCCCTCATTGCTGCCTCTCCAGCTACTCATTTCTCATTTTTGTAAAGCCTTAGGGCTGTTACAGCTGAGCATCGTGGTGTTAACACCTCCTCAGCCATCTGGCACAGGGGAAGAGGCATAGATTCTTCAGACAAAAATCACATCTGAGCAAGACCAGGGTAGTATGAAATCTGAATCCCAGGTGAAGGGGTGAAGAGAGCCATGAGTGACAGCACAGGTGAAAGCAGAGCTCAAAGAAGCTTCGAATTAAAGGCCTGCCTTTTGCTGGGAAAGATCTACCTTTTGCTTTCTAGAAGAAAATAAACGGTAGTCATCTCAATTAAACTTTTTCTAATTCCAAACAAGAGACTGTTAGCTAAAGGAATCCAAAAAACATTATAGTTGTATTTTTTCTTCCATCTTTTCATATTCTTGGCATGTGAACCTGCTTCTGAAGAGATACTTTGTTCATTCTGTTAGGAAAGAAAGCATATTCCAGCTGCTGCCACTGCTTGTTTTATCTCAGTAGAAAGTCTCATGGAGATGTTAATGTTGAGAGTACTGGGCTTTTTATTGAAGGAAAAGGCACACTGTCTTGATTCCTAACACTGGGAATTTTCAGTATTTTTATTACTGTCTATTCAGATAGATCTTTATGCAACGAAAAGATTTGTAAGTACGACTGTTGCTCTGTCCAACAGTCTTAACATTCTGAATTTATCTGCTGAGTGGCCACTGAACTTTAACTAAATATGGAAGCTTAGAAGGTGATTCCAGCTTTTTCTGTGGTGTTTTGCTTTATTCCTCTTTTGGTGATCATGGGTTTTGTGTCTGGGTGAGGTTGAGGTTGGTGTGCTCTGTAGACTGTCACATTTTGGCTGATCAGGCTGAAATGAATGTAGCCAAGCCAACTTTTTCTTAGTGCTTTGCAGCAGTTCTTAGTTTAAAATCCAAAACAAAAACAAAACCTTCAGGGACACTAATGTATTTGATTTGTTGTTGCTTGCTGTTGCTTCACCTTTCCTTCCATATCTTGCTCTCATGCTTCCTAATGCCTGAGCAGACTGCATCGTCCGAGCGCCGAGGAGAGTGGGAAGTCCAGCACAGCCGGCAGACCAATACCTCGTACCTGACGTCTCACTTGGCTGCAGACCGCCATGGGGGATCAGTGCAGGTACGCACTGCCTTTTTCTGGCCTTCCCAGCTTGGCTGGTAGAATGCTGGCTTGCTTCTGAAACTTTGGTTCCTTTAGAGTGGAAAATTAGAGCAAAAGTGAGCCACTTCTGTCATTAACTTAGTATCTTGTGTGCTGATTTCCTGCTTAGGTGAAATTGAGTAAGAGTCACTCGTGGAGATGATTGCTAGTTGTCACTAAGAAACATATGGTTTCTGATTAACCTAGTTCTTCAACCTAGACCCACTCACGATGGACCATAAAAATAACGTCGAGGTAGAGGTGTGTTAGTGTCAAGTCTGTGAATTGTGAAGACCTGAAAGGTAGAAAATAAGTATTTTTTGGATGGAGGACTAGAGGACTGTGTTTTAGCTCATTCCATGATATGTGCCTTAGAGCACGGTAAGACGAGACTGTTAGCTGGGACAAGTCAACTGTTTCTTGAGAGGGTATGTAAAAAGTTGGACTTTGTTTTTTTGTTCCCTCTCTATAATAAGTATGGTCTTGGAGAATTACTTCTGATTTCATTTGGATTATCTGGAATGTGTCTCTTAACTTTTCTTATATTTGACTGTTTAATAATCTTAACCTAAATATTTTTTTCATACTGGTAATTTATAACACCAGTTGGGGCACACAAGTGAACCCACAGCTACCAAACGTAAATCCTTGTAAAGAGGCATCCAGGTCTTTTGCATGTAGAAGTGCATCTTGACTGGTTTAATTGTCTAGGATATGCTTTTACAAGGAGTGATTCACTGAAAGATCGCATTATTCACAGGAAGTTAGGAGACAGCTTTGGCCCTGTACAAACCTCATAGGAGCGTCTGTTTTCACCCCTCCTGAAACAACACTAAAAGAGTGGTAAAGGGATTTAAAAAACAAAAACAAAAAACATAAATCCATATAAGCATGAAGGAAACAGAAGAGGAGACAACAGCAACTAAATTTCGGAAACTGGAAGGCAGATGGACAATTATTAAATGACTTAGCAGTCCCAAGAAAACAATCTGAAGACAGTAGAGGGGAAAGCTGAGAAGTAAGCCTGTTTACGCTAAGCCATCCTCAGCCGGCTCAGGAATTGGCGTTCTGTTAGTGGAAGTGGGTGGAGAGGGGCCTGTGCTAAAATAAGGAAGATTGGTTGAAAACCTGTTGAAGAAGCAGTAGATCCCTAAATCCTCTCCCCTTTCCCAGCAAAGACTAAAGTTTTATTATCTGGAGAGGGGAAAATGAAAGGTATCTGGACACAGTTGAGGGCAGAGTAGTATACTGAAAACAGGAAGGTTAAGCGAATGTGTGCATACTGACTACCTGCTTTCCCCATTTAGTGTTTCAGAATGCTGATAGCTGGGTCTGTACCTTCCAGGCAGGAGATTTTGAAAGAGTCTGTGCTGGGAAATCTGACTAACCCAATAGAAAATATCTAAGCATACAGACAGCAGGGTTTCCCCAATGAAGTGGCCTGGCTAGATCATCCTACAGTGAGACCCATGGTTGACAGGTTTCACCCACATATTCACAGTGTCAGTTAACTTTGCAGTCCCCCACTTTTAAACATAACAGTCAAGGATTATCAGACATCTGAGAAATGCCTTTAATAAGAAAGAGATCAGAGCAAATAAACAACAAGAACAACAACAAAAAAAAAAAACCTTGTTAATAATATCTTCAGATGGTAAAGAGACAGATGATATGACAACTGTGTAGTTCGCTTCCAACAAATTATTTAGTTAGGATGCTATTAAGAAAGGAACATTCTGAGAACAAAAAAAAGCTCATGGAAATTTTAAAAAATAATAAGCAGAAATTAAAAACTCAATGGGATAGTTTGGAAGTCCCCCAGAAAGTAGAGCAAAGAGACTGATGAAAGATAGGACGAAAATATAAGAAAATTGCAGGAGAGGCTAAGAGGTCTAATTTCTAAATACAAGAATTCTAGAAAAAAAAGAAAAAGTGGAAGGAAGGAAATCAACAAACTACTTTCCCAGAACTCAAGGACTTGTTTCCAGATTGAAATAATGGACAATAGAACCATGCCAAGGTGTATCATTGTGAAATTTCAGAACACTGAGGACAAAGAGAAGATCCTTCAAGCTACCAGAAACAAAAAAGTCACACGCAAAGAAAGGATCAGAAATCAATGTAGCTTCAAATTTCTCAACAGTAATACTGGAAGCTAGAAGGCAATGAAGAGTGTCTTGAGATTTTTTAGGGAAAATTATTTTTGATCTAGAATTCTATACTTAGCCAAATTGTCAATCTTGCGTGAATATATAATAAAGAGGTTTTCAAAAATCTGTGGTCTCAAAAATTTTACTTCTCATGTACCCTTTTTATGAAGCTACAGGAGGATGTGCTCTAAAATGAGTGTTTAAACCAAGAAAGAGTAATATATGGGATCCAGAAAATAGAAGATCCAACACAAGAAAGAAGCAAAGGGAATCCCAAGTAGTGAAGTTAGAAGATCGCCGTGACAGTAGTGCACCAGGAGAAGAGAGCAGCCCGTCCTGGCCAGGAGGCTCTGGGAGCAATTTCACCAAAATGATTAAATCGATAGTGTGCTGATAATGTCAGAGCATCTAGAGAGAAACTACTTAGAAAAATGTCAGAAAGTTTGGATAGAATTAGTGATTAGCAGTTAATATATAAAAAACCAAGTAAAAATAAAATTTATAAGATAATGATTAACTCCAAGGAAAATAATAAATTGTATAGGGAAGAAAAGAGAACCACGGTATATATACTCCGTGACTCACAAGTGAATAGCTTTTACTAGTCATAATAATGTAAACACCAAGAATTAACCTAGCCCAAATTATAATAGAAACTATAGTGGGAGAATAGAAGGATGCAGAAGGTCATGCCTATGCATGTAATGCCTAAAAACGAAAATTCAAGATGCATATTATTCAGAGATATGGAGATAAAAAACAAAAGAATCAGCTGTAAAAGAGAGAGAAATGGTGGAAGAAAGAGGCTGCTGTTTTTCCTGTCAATTCTTTTAGAAATATTTTACTCTTTACACAATGTGTGCATATAACTCTGATAAAAATAAAAACCTGAAAAGATTTTTAAACTTATCAGTTTTTGCCTGTCACATTAGCAGCATTTTAAAAATTTTGTAATATCAGTGCTGTCTGCCCTGTCTGTACACTATTGGTGAAAAGTGAAATAGAACAACTGTTTTGGAGAGTGATTTGGCAGTATCTTCTGAAATCTTCAGTACTTACACTTTTTGATCCAGCAAATCCAGTTTCAGATAAATATACTTCAGAAACTCAAAGATACCTAAAAATGTATGTTCTAGAACAGTACTACTGTCCAATAGTAATCTAATATGAGCAACATTTGTCCTTTTAAATTTTCTGATAGCCACATTAAAAATGTAAAAAGAAATAGGTAAAACTAATTTTAATAATACATTTTATTTAACCCAATATGTCTAAAATATTTTACCATGTAATCAATATAAAAAATTATTAATGAGATATTTCACATTCTATTATTTTTTACTAAGTCTTCGAAATCTGGTGTCTATTTTACACTTACAGAACATCTCAATTTGGACTGGTCACGTTTCAAATGCTCAGTAGCCACATGTGGGTAGTGACTACTGTATTGGAGAATGCAGTTCTAGAATGTTCATTGGCAGCTTGTTTGTAATTCAGGGCAACTATATGTTCATCAGTTCAGCATTAACTAAACAAATATTATGTTTTCTTACAGTGGAGAGAGATCTCTGGGTATTGTGGGAAAATGTCCAAGATGTGTTATGAAAAAAGCAAGTTACAAAACAATATGTAAAATTTGGCCCCATTTTTGTGTGTGTGTGTGTGTGTGTGTGTGTGTACACACATATAAACATATACATACCTATACACACATACATATATGTTACTGTATGCAGAGAAAAAAGAAGGGTAATATTAATTGCTATCTTCTGCCTGTTTTTGTAAATAAAGTTTTATTAGAACACAACTGTACATTTACGTATTGTCTGTGGCTGCTTTCATGCTGCAGTGGCAGAGTTGTTTAGTTTCAACAAAGGCTGTATGGCTGACAAAGCCTAAAAATACTTACTCTCTGTCCCTTTATAGAAAGACTTTGCCAACACTTGCTGTAGAGAACACATACCAAATTTCTCACTGTCCAGTTGCGTGTGATACCACCTTGTATGTTGTCTGTTAATGTTCTAATATTTACAGTCTACATATTTACTTCGTAATTAGAAAAAATATGTAAGTAATATTTTTATAAGGAAAAAATTCCGTAGTTAATCAGACAATTAGTCTACCGGACCTATGTTCCTAGAACCCAGGATACTCAGTTGGATAGTTTTTCAACTGTCCTGTGTGAGGAGTTGTCTTTAGATTAGAATTGGAGCCAATCAGAGTGTCTCTGGCAGCACTTTTGAAGACTGCAACCTCCCTCTAAACCTAATAAACCAAACCCATTGTCATCAAGTTGATGCTGACTCAGAGAGAGTCAAACTGCCCTTTAGGGTTTCAAAGGCTATAATCTTTTCGGAAGCAGACTGCCGCACAGTTCTCCTGCGGAGTGGCTGGTGGGTTCAGATCATCGATGTTTTGGTGAGCAACCGAGCACTAAGCCACTGTGCCTCCCACTGCTTCCTATAAGTTAAGTTCTGCCAGCTTCCCTGGCACTTTGATACGGTCAGGCAGTTGTACAATTACTTGCCTAGTTATTAAGCTCTGCTGCCCCTCACTGCACGTTTGTCTTTGAGCTTGTATTGTTTTTTAGATGCAGTTTTTGTAAACTCACAAAAGCGCTATGCCTTTTGCAAACCAAATCAACAGTACCTTTCTATCACGATAGATGCCCACATCTTTGGAAGTGTCTCACTTCCCAGAGGCAGTGTGGTCAAACCATGCTTGGTCTGACCTGGATGACCTGCAGATACCATGACCCTGGAGAGAGTGCAGAATGCTGACATGAGAAGAGTTTGCTCTGATAAGGCACACGGACATTCCTGTTCCAGCCTGTTCTAACCACGGTTCCCATCCTTCGAACATTTCCACAGATCGTCCTCATATAAAACCAAACCTGTTGCCATCAAGTCGATTCTGACTCACAGCAACCCTGTAGAACAGAGTAGAACTGCCCCATAGGGTTTCCAAGGAGTGGCTGGTAGATTCAAACTGCCATCCTTTTGGTTAGCAGCCGAGCTCTTAAGCACTGCACCACCAGGGCTCCCACCCACGTATAAAAAAATGAAAACCAAACCTGTTGCCGTCAAGTTGATTCCGACGCACAGCGACCATATAGGGCAGAGTAGAACTGCCCCATAGGGTTTCTAAGGAGCATCTGGTGGATTCAAACTGCTGACCTTTTGGTTAGCAGCGGAGCTCTTAACCACTGCACCACCAGGGCTACCCATCCACGCATGTTGTTATGTGCTGTCGAGTTGGTTCCAACTCATGGCGACCCTATAAAAAAACCACCAAACCAAACCCTTTGCTGTTGAGTCAGTTCTGACTCATAACGACCCTATAGTACAGAGTAGAACTGCCCCATAGAGCGACCCTATAGAAGGTCTAAATTCAAGAAGACAGTATATTTCTTCTCTTTCAAAAATATTACTGTAAAATTATTTAAATTAAAACATACTGGAAATTGCTATAAATCTCCAGAACAAAGCAAGGTATAGGATGGACTTAAGAATGGTGTTTAACATTTAGCTAATATTTACTTTTGCTCAGAACCTTTATAATTTTCGATTACCGTATTTTTATGCAAATAACCCATGCCTTCTACATTTGTTTACCAACCACGCCCTATCCCCCTCAAGGTATTTACATAAGCTCCGCTATGGCAATTTTTTTTTTTTTTTACATGTTGCTGTAAAAAAAAAAGTAGCATAGTGTACTTACGAAAATGCCTAGTGAGGGGAGGGTGTCATTGTATTTAACTGCTGTAATAATTAGGAGATAAATAGGACCAAAGTTCTTAGCCCTGTCTTACAGAATTAGAAACCAAGGCTCTAAGAGGATATTGATGATAGAGCTCGGCCTGGAATCCAGCTCTTCTGTCATCTGCAGTAGTGTTGGTTCCTCTACACATCCAGGCAGCAGTTCAATGGGTTGACAAACTCTGCCTCCAGCCTGAAATAATTCTTAGGTGGATGCTCTGAAGGCCCATTAGTAGCCATTGGTTCCCAGGCATGTTTTAGGTGTAGTTAAGTTTAAGGGTAGGCAACTGATAGTAAGGTTCTCATTTGTGCCTGATTCATTTGAGACAGATTGCCCAGGGACATTGCTTCTGGGCCAAGTGGCAATTCATAGAGCGTATGAGACATGTGAAATGCTGTGAGCAGGCACCGTGACCCAGAGTCGCCAGGGGATTCAGTGATGATGCTTACTGCTGCTTCATTCATGTCAGTAGAGGGCAAGGCGTTTTATTTAACATCTCGCCTGACTTCTGACTTACTCATTAAGAAACAAGATTTCCCCGTTAGCCCCTGTGCTTGCAGAATGGACTCGCCAGCATTACTGTTAGAGTGCAGCCATAGTGTGCCCACAAAGAGGCAGATGTAGGACTGAGGAGATGAACACGGCAGCTTTAGAAGGTGTGCCATGCTTCTCCAAGCAGCTTTTTATTTTTGCTGTTTTTTCCCCAACTTTTTGTTTTGAAATTTTCAAATCTGCGGAAAAGTTTAAAACATAATGCAAAGAACTCCTTATATCCTTAACCTAGATTAATGAATTAAGATTTTGCCGCATTTGCTTCAACTCTGTGTGAGTATATGTGTATATATGTATTTTGCTTTGTTTTTTTGCCTAATCCATTAAAGACAAAATCTTGCAGACACCATCACACTTACTCCCAAAATACTTAAGACTGCATCCACTAAAAACAAAGACATTCTCTCATGTAACCAACAAGACCATCGACATACCTAAGAAGACTGGTAATGGTTCCATAATATCTGATATACAGTCCCTATCAGATTTCCCCAGTTGTCCCCAAAGTTAATTTTATAGTGTCTAGGATCTAATCAGTGTTCGTGCACCACATTTGGTTGTTACGCCTCTTTAGTCTCTTTTAACCTCTTAGCCTCTTTTAATCTATAACAGTCATTTCTGTGTTAAAAACAAAAAAAAGAGAGAGATTTTTAAGACAGTCTTTTTTGAAGAGCCCAGACTGGTTGTCCTATAGATTGTTCCACATTTTTTATTTGTCTAATATTTTCTCCCTCATGATTAGATTCAGATAAACCGTTTTTTGGCAAGAATACTAGATAGATAATAGTGTATGCTACCTATCATTTCATGTCAGGAGATAATAAGATTTTGGTTAGGTAGTTCCACTAATCAGTGATGCGAAATTTGATCACTAGCAGAAATTTGAGTCTCCCTTGCGCAAGTCCAAGTTTAATGTTATAGATTTCCTTCACTAACTGTCCAGCATTGTTTTATTTTTTCAATATATGTTATTATTTGTAAGAACAATAAATATTTCCAGTATAGAAATAATGGTGGATCTAGATTATCAGTAAGTAGTATTCACCTGTCTACTCCTTTCCCTTTGATTAAATACCCCAAAGCCTTCTCATACTAAACATTTCCTCTTATCTTTCTCTTTATGACTGTTAAGGAAATGTTTACGAATTAGCTATTGGTGAGGACCCCAGATCTTGAGGTAAATAAGAATAAACAAGCATTTATGGAGGGAGAATAATAGTAACAAGAACATTTATTGAGCCTTTTCCATGTACCAGGCACTGGTCTAAGCACTTTCTGTGGATTATGTGTGCAGTAACCCAATTAGGTAAGCACCATTATTTCCCCATTTTACAGATTAGGAAGCTCAGGCACAGAAAGATTGAGGATCTTGCCCAAGGACCCACAGCAAGTAAGTGATGAAGCTGGGGTTCACACCCAGGGCTGACTCCCTCTAAAGCCCAGCTTGTATTTACTCTAATATGCTCCCTCCTTTGTTATGCACCAGGTATTGTACCAGATACTATCTCATACATTTTCTCTTATAATTCTCACATCAGCCTGTAAAAAACATTCTCAAATAGATGAAGTTACTTACCTGGGGGCATATGATATCCGAACCATTTATCCTATTTTGTGGTTCTCTCCCATGTTTCAGCCAAAGTCTTTAACAGCAGAGTGGTTTGTCCAGCGGGGTCCCTTTTCCCACTCCCCAGCACCCACATAAACAGGAATCATGTGCTGGAAATGAAACCAGGTGGCAGAAGCAGCTGCACAAGCAAGAGAAGCCTGATCGGGTCCACATTAACCAGATGACAGGAATGAGAGCCGTCAGTTACAGTTCGGGGACCATCAGTGAGAAGTGGGATGACACTGAACCTGAAATAAAGGTTGTTGAACTAAGACTGGTCTTTCAAGGGAACGCGATTCCTTGCCGTCTGCCCTCCCACCAAAGAGGCTATGGCAGTCTTGTTATTTGAGCACCTTCAAACCAATGGGCAAAGCCATGAAGAAATTTCTGAAGGAAAGTGTGATTGTTTATAGTTTCTGGTGCCCACTATTGATTTCCTTTTTAGAATTTTTTTTTTTAGCATCATGGCTGATTATATATTTATATAGCATGATAAACCGAGAGAAGTAGAAAATATCCATTATGTTCCAGGGAGCCAAATGATTTTGACTTTAGAAGTCAGCTGTGCAATTACTTTTACTTTAATAAAGAGCTGTGTGCATTTTTGCAATATGAAAGAATCTACATGTTTAGGACAAACTTCCCTCGTGGAAGTCCAACAGACCGTAACTCTATCTATACCTTTGTTAAGTCATTTCTGTTTCCATCTGTAAAACGGGACCTATTTTACAGGGTTTTTGTGAGGATGAAATGTGTACACGTGCGCACACACAGTATAGCACTGTGCCTGACACAGAGTAGGCACTCGCGTAGAAGACATTATTATCATTATATGATTACATCTTTGAAGTTAGTTTTCTCACATGGTGTGGCTCTGGGAGCCTTGGTGTAGTACACCTTCCCAAAATTAGGACAGCTCGCCCCTCAGTCCAGGAAGACAAACATTCAGGCACTGCCTGGCTAGGTCCTAAGCTAGACACCAGGTCTCCCTTAAGTGACCCTCTCTGACACTGGCAGGAGGCTCCTATTACCATGATGCCTGTCACACTCTGTCTTTCTGTTTCAGGTGGTTAGCTCAACCAACGGAGAGCTGAATGTCGATGACCCCACGGGAGCCCACTCCAATGCACCGATCACTGCTCACGCCGAGGTGGAGGTAGTGGAGGAAGCTAAGTACGTTCATCTTTCCAGGGGGGCTCTTGAGTCCTGGGTTGGAGAATCTTTTCTGTCTCTTCCTCTCTGTGTGCTGCCCATCTCAAACTGAATTCCTCATGCTTGTGTCCGCAGCTTCTTTTTTTTGACCATCTCAATTTTTGCATGGTACCATAAGGCTGCTGCTGCCCTTCTTTAGCTGTGAATTCTGGGAGAACAGTCGTAATTTTCTAGTCCACGTGGTGCAAAAAGGCTCAGTGAACTGAAAGAATCATGTTATAAGAGATACAGCAGATAGTAACCACAAGCCTCTTGGAGCCCTGGAGCTTCTTGCTCCCTATGGGATATAGAAAAAAGTCTGCTTACCTAAACCATTGGCCATGCTTAACAGCATTAGATTTCTGGTTTTTAGCCAATAACTCTGGCTGTATAGCCCTGGAGCAGTGGTTTCAGAGCCATTTTGTTCTCTCTCGAATGATTCTGGGTTCAGGGAGACTCAGATAAGTCACGCAAGGAAAATGACGTGTGCGCCTGCGGGTGAGACAGTCTTTGGGGAGGAAAGGGGGTCACACTGATGCCGAGACGACGAGGCGGTTACCCCACGCCCTTTTCTGCGTTTCTTGCATGTCTGTGTCTTGCCCTGCCCATACCACCAGCTACCCACATTTGGTGCTCTCTGCATGGTCTGTGTTTAAACTCTTGGAATCTGGGGTAAAAGTGAAATAACTGCCAGTTCTGCTGCAAAAGCAGCATTTCTGTCACTGATTTCCCTTTTTTCTCCATACCAAATTCAAAGCCAGATTTAAACTCCACGAAGACATCAGGTAGGGAGATAGGTCTCTCATGAGTCAGCAATTACTGCCAACCCAGATATGAATGACATTTTTTTAAAACCCTCTGAGAATATCCGGGATATGCCGGTGTCGTGTTCTCTAAAGCAGACAACATATTTGTAGTGATATTCTTCCCTGTGTGGTCTCTTGAGCCCTCAGATAGCCTAAATACAAGTCAGAACAGGCTACACTTCTGGGTGTAAGATGGTGAGAAGCCAGCCAAGACCTGCAGTCTTTCTCCTTCCAGATATACTTCCTGTGGTTGTCACCCCTGCCCACTCCTGTGATCTCTTGCCTATCTATTGATGAGCTCTCTTTGCTCTCAAGAGGTCCTTTCTTTGGAAAGTTAGAGCTTGAGCATCCCTACCCTGTAGATAAAAAGCAACCAAGAATGACTCGGAGTCTCCTGTCAAGTCCCTGCTGACTGTAGGCAGCTTCAGATGCTGTTCTCCTGGTTTATATAAGGCACTGATGACATAAGGAGAGAGAGCGAGGGAGTTTTTATACTAAGAAGAGAGACCATTTTTAGTAAGGGAACGTGTTTCCCCTATTCTCAGGGACTCTGGAATTTGTAATGGCACTCATAGTTTTTCCGTTTCCATGACAAAACTACATAAACAATATGGTACTCCCACCCTCTAGGGTCCTCAACCTTGGCTGCAATTTGGAGTCACCTGAGGCATCTTAGGAGATGCCAAAGCCTGACAAATAATAAATCTAAATTCTGGCCCCAGAGATTCAGATTTCATTTATCTGGAGTGTGGCCTGAGCATTGCAGGTTTTTTTTGAAGTTCAGGTGATTTTAATGTATAGCCAAGGTTGGGAACCGTTGCATTAAATGTAGTCTCATCCAACATTGTCTGGGCTTTCCCACCCCCACCCCCACCCCACTCCCAGTTCATCTTCTGTGGCTAGTACTTTGAAGGCTAGAAGTGTAACTCTGGATTTAATAGTATGCTTTAAATACAAAGACTGAATGGGCTTTAGTCTTCTAATATGCCTTAGAGAGGTTTATTTTTTGAACCCATTCATATCATTTCATTTTGGTAAATGTGTATTCTAATTGTGTATGTGAGTGTGGTATTTGTGTCCTGTGTGTAAGATAGGGGCGGTTTACATGAGTAGATTTCAATCTAGTGTATTCTCTTCTGGTATAATCTAAGCCCTAGGAGGTAAGGAGAGTTTAAAGTCTTCCCATTTAGCAAGAAGGGCCACTGTGCCTCTTTGCCAGTTGGCCCCAGGTTTGGGCCTTCTGAAAGGTGTGGAAACCAGAGGGGAGCAATTGTATTTGACCAAATGTTACCCAAAAGCTCGTGGCTTGCAGCATTTTGTGTGCTGCTTCTCCTACTGCTTTCATGAGCTACCAACTCATCTCGCCCAGGGAGCTGTCAGGGCACAGCTGTGTATTACTCCTCTTGGCCTTCTATGTGTGTGGGGACAGGGAGGGAGTAGTCATGTGTCCACCTGCTTGATCATTTTTATGGGAAGAAGTCACAGCCAGAGAAGCGCAAGACATCCCAAACAACCTTTCATTGCACACAGCTGTGATGCCATTTGTTCATACATCCTGCTTGTGGGGAAAAAGGGATGTAGCCTATGTAGAGACTCAATTCAGGGACTTGAGAGACTATGTGAAACCTTCATTTCCACGCTTTCGATATTGGGTTTCTCACCCAGCTTGTTTTGTGTAAAGGAGGAGAGAAACAACAAGGTCTTGGTTTTTGTTCTGTGTGCAAGATGGACATCTGACTTCCCTTTTTCGCTCGCTGCAGGACACGTGTCCTTGTTTAAGTATGACTGGAAGGGTAGTGAGGGCAGGGAACTTTTTGGCTCATTTTTCTTATAGTAAGAACACAAGGAGTTTTTGGTTATCCGTTGAGTTTGGCTATCACTTAGCAAATACGGACCTCATTTCTCCAGAGAATTAACAAAGTGGGGTTTAGGCCCTTCTCTGGCAATTATCCCTTAATCCACAGCAGCAGCCCCTCTCCCTCTGAGTCATCTCCTGAGAGAAAGTGAATGTCTCTTAAGCCTTTTCTCCCTCTGTAGAGGAAGAGTGAACTGCTGGTTGCTTTGGTGAGGCATGTTGGCCTTGTAGAAGGACTAGGACTTCTCTGTCCCTCAGAACAGTTGAGAGGCTGACTTACCGTTGCGCAGTGAGAACCAGTGGTTCAGTCTTGGTGCCTGGTTGGGCTCTTAGAGGCACAGTCGTGTGCTCTTCTCCTGTTACCTTCCTAGAAGTTGCTTAGGAAAGCCCATCCTGGGGCCCCCACCATCCTCCGTTTTCCCTTATCACTCCCTGAGATCCACTTCCCACCTTGAGGCTTCTGTCAGGCTCCTGCCCACTCCAGTTGAGAGTGAGGACCAAGTAGCCCCTACTTTAGAGTAGCCCAAGGGAGGCCTACTCACTCACCTTGACAGAGGAAGAACCTAAACACAGACAGTACTGCATGTTTGCATGGCTCACAGGAAGTCGCTTCCATCTCACCTCTGTGGACTAATCTCTCTCTTTCTCTCTCTTCCTTTCTGTGTTTTTCTCTGTATACACTCTGTAGCTGCCTGAAAATGCTCAACTTGTGGTGAGTCCCTCTCTCCAGTCCACATGCAAGGGGAGTGGACGAGACTAGGCTGGGATTGGCAAGCCAGACAAAATGCCTTAGGAGCACTGAATGGCTTACATCTGCCACCCTGTGCCCTAACCACCCAGACTGGGAACTAGATCCACAAGGTGGGGATGGGGCAGGCCTATACCCAGGAATTAATCTGTTCCTTCTTTCCTTTCAAAGCCCCCTCATCGCTCCCTCCTCCTGCCAAAACAATATCCCACCCCAAATTTCTCTCTTTATTTTTAACTGAGTGAATTTCCTCCCAACTTAATATGACCAGATATTATTGGAAGGAAAGAGACAGAAGTAAGAGGACAGGGTGACTCTCTCAGTTGTTTGGATTCTCTCTCTCAACCCCAAGGACGGTGCTGTTGCTGGATAATCTTACCTTCTGCAGCTTGGTCTTCTACCTGGAAATTGGCTGATTTGGAAAAATATCTGTGACTTTTCTTTATGATTCAACTTGTTCCTCCATCTGTAGAGTATGAACTCCCCCTCCCCCAAAAAAAGAGAGCTCCTTCTTGGGGGAGAGATGGACGTTCTGTTGTTGTTGCTGTTGTTGTGGGGCTTTTTGGTGTGTTTTTTTTGTTTGTCTTCTTTTTTTTTTTTAATGATAAGAGTGAATAGTGAGCCAAGGGCTGACTCAGCTAATGCGATATTTGACCCCGTCTTTTCTACTCCTGGAAGGGGTTCATTGAAAGCATTCTTGGGAACAACAGGGGGCATGTAGAAGGGGAAGCCCTACTGAATCCATGTGTGGTGAGGGACATTCCTGCTGTAAGACAGGGGGCCCTCCCCAACTCTCCTCCTGGACACTGCCTGTGACCTTCCAGCTTTTCTTGAGCTTGCTGATCTGTTGCAGTCTGGAGTTATAACTCCACATTGTCTGCGTGCATAGGTTCATATTCTACATGGTAGTAATAGTCTGTGACTCTATGACTACCTCATTTCTACTTACTTTCAGTGACTGGGTTGGGCCCGGGTTTCCCAACACTAACTGTCTAAGCTAGATTGCCTAGAGGGGTTTCCCTAGGGACAGGGATATAGTGAAGATAACAAATGGATTTTATGGAGACAGGACTTTATAATCTGTAGGGTATCAAGGAGTACATTTAGCCTACTCATTTAGAGAAACATTTGTCTGTGTAATCTGACATGGTCGTGGTCTGTTTTTTCTTGTCAGTCACATGATCTTGAATTAGTTCCACAAGTACTTAAGGGCCTACTCTGTGCTCATCTAACCCTGTGCTTGGAACTCTAAGGGGTCTCAAGGCCTAGACCGTGCCCCAAAGAGCTTAGGTACTTAGTCATCTAGTGCTGCTATAACAGAAATACCACGAGTGGATGGCTTTAACAAACAGATTTATTCTCTCACAGTTTAGGAGGCTGGAAGTCTGAAGTCAGGATGCCAGCTCCCGGGGAAGGCTTTTTCTCTCTGTCAGCTCTGGGGGAAGGTCTTGGCATCAGTCTTCCCCTGGTCTAGGAGCTTCTCAGCACAGGGACCCTGGATCCAAAGGATGCACTCTGCTCCTGGTTCTTATTTCTTGGTAGTAGGAGGTCCCTCTCCTCTGTGCTGGCTTCTCTCTTTTATGTCTCAAAAGAGATTGACTCAAGATATGACCTAATCCTGTAGACTGTGTCCTGCTTCATTAACGTAACTGCCTCTAATCCTGCCTCATTAACATCATAGAGGTTAGGATTTACAACACATAGGATTATCAGATCACAAAATGGTGGACAACCACACAATACTGGGAATCATGGCCTAGCCAAGTTGACACACATTTTTGGGGGACACAATTCAATCCATAACAGGCACCCTCTAGTTGGGGAAGATAAAATATACACATGAAAGAATAAGTAGTTCTCCAGGACACTTAAGTTTTTGTTCCTGGACAGGCTGAGGGGACGAGACATCACTGTGGACAGAACCAGTCAAGGACGACTTCATGGGTACTGTAGGTATTAGAGCCAAGGAAGACTGTGCAAGTATGGGAAAGAAGGGGAACACAGCAAGGGAGTAGCTAAAGGGGGAGCATCCAGGACATAGTAGGAGAGCAGTGTGAAAAAGCTAATGGCTCAGAGGCCTGGTGGAAGAGAACTTGCTGGCTTGTGAGTAGGGAGACTGGACCAACTCTGAATCTAGCATGTTAAGAACTCGGGTCATCTAAACAATCAAAGAATCAACTGGAAGGGAACTTATGACACAAGATAGGTTCATCACCTATCTTAATTCTCTTCCGAGAGTAGGCCTGTCTCTGTGGAATCAGTTACTGGGCTTAGTCTAGGGCCTGACCCAGCTTAGCAGATCCTGTGCTAGTTGTCACCACAGAAACCAAAGAGCTGAAGAGCACATTGTGGGGCCTGCTTCCTCATGGGTAGGATCGTTAAAAGCTTCTCTACTGCTGTAGTCACTAGAAGACAGTTAATCTAAGGGCTCCAAATTTAAAACCTTCTAGCTCCTCTAAACCATAGCTTCTTGCACTTCCTCCAGGCAGGTAAAGTCAGCACTGCACATCAGGTTATGACATGTTTGTAAGAAGGCGTTAATTCTCACAGCTCGCCTGAAGGGAAGTCATTGTATAGTTTAATGTGGGTCTAAACAGTATTTCAAACTTCTAAGTTCTTACGAAGTAAGCAACAGGTGTTTATTTCCATATGAATATCCCTGGTATTAAACCTGGCAGGATGAGCCTAGGAGACTCAAAGATAGTTTCCTCAGAAAAGCTTTTCTTTCAAGGGTCCCAGAAGTCTGAGTTATACCTCAAACTTTACTCCCCTCTATCATTGGCGTCTTTGACTCATCTGCCACCTCTGGCCCTCCCCTATTCATTTCCCATGTGTCAGCTTCCTGGAAAGGACATGTCTTTTGCACCACCCATGCTACAGCCCTCATCACCCCCTTCTGGGCTCATCGCTGCCTGAGCAAGAGTGATGCTGTCTATTCCAAAGACAGGAGTGAGGAGGAGAATAGGACTCTGGCCAAGGGACGTGCCAGAGCTGTGGCTCTCCCCCAGGAGGCAGCCCTGGAGGGCGAATGAAGAGTGCAGGCCCCAGCCTCCACCCTAAACAGGACCAGTTCTTCAGCCCAGTCTGGCTTGACAGCAGCAGTCTCAGGAAGCTGGGTTGGGGGGCGGGTACCCTGCAACCAGAGAGCTTCCTCATGATCACTCCTGGGTGTGGGTTGATCCCCTTCAAATGAAGATGGGCTGTGCTGATCTCAGTCAGGAGACCTGGGCTCACAGTTCTGTTGGCGTCAGGGTTTCTCTTGTTCTCCTCCAGGTAGCGGGGTGGGGGTGGGGAAGGAATCCTTGGTCCTTCATTGGTAGGATTGTGAGCTCCTCCCAGAGTTCCAAACATCTTGCTTTCATGGGATTTGTTTGCCTTAGTGTAGCCTCCCTACCCGCTGGCCATGGAATTGCACTAAATAAATTTGCCCTCCGTATCAAGGGGTGGACAGCGCTGACTGTTGTTCTTGCAGCCCTGAGGACCCCTAGACTTGATGAGGGCATCTGGGTTGGGTGTCAGAGTAGGAAATAAATCTTCATCCTCCTTCCAGAAATGCCTGTTTTGGCCCTGCCTAGCCTGAGCGTTTGGTGATTGGGTTGGGGAGCTTCAGGAGATGAAGCAGCTGTTTCCTTTGGCTTTCCCGGCAGACACTGCCCACTGCCTTCAGTGTGCTCACTGTAGATGGTGGGCGGCCCTGTGGGTGGGTGCCAAGGGGAAACTCCCACCCCTTGCAGGCAATAGAACCAGGCAGAGGTCTGCTGGAAGCTGCAGGCCCCACGGCGCTCACTGTGATGTTCCTTGTGCTCCAGGTGCTGCTGTTTCTTTAAGAGGAAAAGGAAGAAGACTGCTCAGCGCCACAAGTGACCCGTGCCTCCTAGGAGTCCTCAGGCCGTGGGGACTCTGACTTGATTGCACCTGGAGCTCCTGCCATTTCTCATTGGAAGGAACTCCTCTGTGGGGGAGGGTAGAGATCCAAACCAAAAAGAAGAAAACAGATACCCCAGAAGGAGCCAGTGTGGGCAGCCAGGGCCCAGTGGGTCAGTGGCCATCCCTGTCTGCCTGAGGCTCTGAGCAGGTCCCAGAGCTGCTGCTCCTCCACTGCCTGCCCTTGGGGCTGCCTGGTTGACTCTCCTTCCCATTGTTTACAGTGAAGGTGTCATTCACAAAAACTCAAGGACTACTAGTGTCTTCCCCCACCCCTTAGTTTGCTCCTGGTTCTTGCCCACCCTCAACTCTGTTCAGCATAAAAGCTAGTGAACAAAAGCTTGTCTGCTGAAGGAGCTCTAGAGGCTGGGGGTGTGGCCAAGAAGGTAGGAGGAAGATGACAGACCTAGGCTGGAGAAGACCCTTCTCCACCTACCAGCTGTGTCTGGCAGTATGGCCTCCTCCTCCTCTGTGCCTGTGCAGCCTCCGTCCCCAGCTGTTCATGGGGTACAGTTCCCTCCTCCCCCTCCTGTGAAGTTACACTGTAGGACACAAGCTGTGAGAAGTCTGCAGTCTACTGTCCCCGCGCATTTGTGTTCTTAGCTTTCTTGACAAGCGAACTTTGTTCTCCAGACGGTAGTAGGACAATGCAAATTGGTCTGAGCAAAGGAAGAAAACAAACAAACCTGACTTTATTGCACTTTTAGTTTTTTTTTTTTTTTATAAACAGAAAACATGACAGATGCATATTGTGTCTGGTTATATTGGGGTTTTACTTTTTCTGTCTCGAGGGGGATGGGGCCACCTAAGCCATTCAGAGAGAATATGGGTCCAGAGGACATTCTCAATGGAAAGATTTTTGATATGCAGCACCCAGAAGAAAAGAAGCCAAACCCTGTGCCATTCTGAGCTGTTGCACTCAGGTTGGCGAGGAAACATATACTTGAATTTTCATTCATCTTCTCAGCTGCCGAAGTATGTCCCTACCAGAGCATCTTGACCTAATCAGGCTACGGTTTAGAAAACTTGGCTCTCAAGCACTTGGGATGACCCAGGCCAAGCCAGACTGTGACTGGAAGACACTCATCCCAGAGAAGCAGAGGCTTAACAAAAAAATCAGAAATATCTGTTTTCTCCACTGCCAGGGACTTCCAGCTAGATAGCCATGTGATTTCCTGGTGACTTGGGAAACCAACTGATGAAACAGCCACCACCATATTGCCACTAGAGGGCAAAGAAGAAGACCGGGAACCTGCCTTCCAACGGCCAGAGGAACCTCAGGGTGGGCATCGTAGGGCCAGGAAAAGAAACTTGACGTGGACTGTCTTCCCTAATAGCTAAGTTCCAGCACTTGGGCTGGTCTGCCTTATCAGAAGCCAAGCCCATGACGATCTCCCAACAGGTCCGTAGCGGCGGGATTAGGACTGAGTACATGGGGCTACAGTGAACAGGAGGGAAAGATTGGTTGGTGCTGGAAAATTCCAGGGAAAAGGAGAGTAAAATGAAAGGTCTGAAATCATCTCAGTGGGACAGAGACTCCTTCCAGATAAGACGGTCATGTATCTAGAACATGCTCTCCTATACACTCCCCGCCCATGCCATGGTATTTTCACATGACATATTACCAGAAAAGGTCTTGGTTCCTCACTCACTGCCTGAAAAATCAATAATGGGTGGAGTTACTCTTCTCTTGGTTCCCATTTGAGTTCAGTGGCTTATTCAAACAGTGACTTGTCATTCCGGATGTGACAGGACAAAGGATTATTTGCATTAGGAAAAGAGGTCTTGTATCTGGAAGAAGAAAGACAAACTAACACTCCTTTTGCTCTTTCATTTCCACATTTCAGTGGAGCTAGAGAGAACTAACCATGGAGGACAGTGGCTGGTGACAGTCTGGTGGTTTGGGGAACACAGGTATCGCCATTTCTGGCTTGATATGTAGGGCTGTCTGTTGACTGGAGGGTGTGGAGATACTTTCTGGTAGTTGAAATTTTCTGACAAGTCCCTTGATGTACCTTTTGTGGAACAGAACTAGCAGCATTAGCATGGATCTGAGTTACTGGGCTTCACCTGTTCCATTGGGCCTTGGCTTGAGAATATCACTTCACTGGCTTCAAACCTGCTTAGCTTATGTGATGATTGTAATCTTTCTTTTCTTTAAAAGAAATTTTCCTGTATACAAAATATATAGAGTGGCAGGGAAACTCAGTGTCATGCCCCTTCTCCACAAGGACTTTGAATACGGGGCTTTGCTTCATTGCCATTATCTAGTGGTTAAGGCCCCATCACTGAAACTTAATAGTTTCTCAATTGGCATTTGAGCAGCAGTTTAACTTCCTGTACAGAAACGTTAACCTCCTCATCCCTGTATAGAAAAAGCCTTGCCTCTCAAGGGAAGGCAGGAGGAAATAGTGGCAAAGCCTGGAGTGTTCTGGCACTCCATACCCCACTAAGTGCCTCCCCTGCCCCCACCCTTGGCCTGTCCCCCCGCCCCCGCACCAAAAAAAAAAGACAGTGACCAGCTTGGCTGTGGGCAAGCCCCCTTGCAGCTATGTTTGCAGGGTTTTTGTTGTTAAAATGTTTTAAAGGCTAGCTCTTCAGGTGAACCTAAGCAGTGGAGAGTCCTTAATGCACCATTCTTACCCCCTACAAATCTCTTAAAAGATATTTTGTTTTCATAACAAAGGTGAAGAATGCCAGATCTCTTTAGCATGCAGGGATTAGTGATCCTCCAAGGCCCTTGATATTCCAAAGCGGTCCCAGACCCCTGGGAGATTGTTAGAATCTTCCTTAAAACACAAGACACACAAAGCAGCTGAGTACCCCAGAAGGGATGTGGCCAGCAGCTCCATCCCCAGCAGCTCATCATCCCTGCACAGCCCCATTCTTACAGTTGCTTAGCTACACGCCTCAGCCAGATCCTTGGGGTTGCCCATACCTCCTCCCCAAATCTACTTGCTCCATAGTTTTTGAGCATTCTCCATTTCGCGGCCATGATGCCGAAGGATCTTTTCTTTGGGACTGATGCAGTTTCTCCTTAGAGCTAAGTCGGCATCTGTTAATTAAGAAACCCTTGCTACTATACCCTAGGAGTTCTCCCAAGCCCTGCAGTTCCTCGGGCGTTAACTGCACCCTGAGCAGACTGAGGCAGGCAGACCAGGATTTCACCCAAGGCATGAAGGGCCTCCCCTCATGATGGGAGTATGGTTTGTATCTGCACTGGAAGCATGTAAGGGCTGCTTAGTTGCTGTACCCCTTGGCGCTGCCCAGATATCTCACACAGAATGCTCCACAAGGGTGGGCATAGCCCCCCAGCAGCTAGTGTGCATTCGTGACTGCCTTAATTAACATTGCCCTGCTATTTGGGGTCCGTCTGGGAGTGAACAGTGTCTAGGAAGGTATGAGTCAGGTTGCTTGACCCTCCCCTTAAAGGTCCATTTTACTTTGGAATGCAGAGGCTGCCTGAGACAGCAAGGATTCTGAGGTTTCCGGTAGGAGTGGTGATTACCTGTTTATTCTCATTGAGCTTGAAGTGTGTTGAAACAGCCCCTGCCTATTAGCCAGATGAGGCATCCATTGCCTCTAAAGTAACTTCCAACTTAGTTCCGTAGAACTGTACACTGGTAGTACATATTCAGTGTTGGTAGCCATTTTTAATGCCAGAAATATGCAATGTTTGGTAGTGTTATGTCAGAGCGGTTACTAAAGATCATAGCCTTAATTTTTTTTTTTTTTTTAATGTAGAAGATATAATCTTTTCCCTCCCAATGAGCAAGCATGGCCTACATTTTTCAAAAACAACTTCTTCCATGGCAGCCTAGAAAGCATCTCCTCAAAGGAACTTGATCTTCTGATGCATCTCTCCTAAGTCCCATGCCTCCTGCGTCCAGCCAACTCCTCCATTTTCACATTTACATCAGTTTCTGTTCTCATTGAGTTGTCCAGACAACACTGTCCACTATCGAGCCAGGTTAGGACTAGAGTTTCTTGGACCGGGAGCTTGCAGTGCCATACAGCCAACATTGCCCTTGCGAGGCCACTGCCACCATCCCCACCACTGCCCCGTGGTGGACAGATGAATCCCAGGAATCCCCCAGGAGTCAGGATAACTGGGCATTCCACTGGGATTGGCCATGTAGACAATAGGCACTTGTCTCTAGGATTGTTGTGTAGTCTCTCCAGAGCTCCAGGGAAGTCCCATCTAGAGGCTGATGGCCAGTGGCTCCCAGTCTTCCCTATGGTGGGTTGGTAGAACAAATGGGATTACTTTGGTGGGTTCCCCCCCACCCCTACCGGGGGTCAGGGGAGGAGAGTGTTGTTTTTGTTTCTTAGTAGGAAAAAGAAGAGGAAACCATGGCCCTTCTTGGGAGTTTGTAGAGTTTTGAGCACTGTTTTAGCCACAAGTAAGGCATCTTGGAAGTCTGTTCAAATAAGCAGTCTAAATTTTAAGTTTTTCTTAATTCCCTTTGCTGGCGACTGAGTGCAAAAGAATAGATTTCTCCAGTGTATTCAAAATAGTAAGTAGGTTCCCTGGATATAGACAGTAGTAGTTGACATATTTCCTCAAAAAGCAACCAGGAAACACACTCCAGTATTTGTAGATCAGCTTATGAAGGAAAAAGTGAACACGTACTCCATATATTTCTAGCTTGATTCATCAAACTTGATGTTAAGAAGAACCCTCAGTTCTGTGGACAGGATTTCTTCAGTTATTTTCGTTTCCTCCCCTCACGATCACCTTTCTGGTGCCATCACCACCACCTTCAGGGTCTCAGAGCAGAGGGTCATCATGATAATAGATGGGGGTGCAGTGCAGTCATCCCAGTAACACAAGAGGACAGCTGTCCTGACTGCCCCCACCTTGACATTTTCAGTGTTTGCTTCTCCATGAGCCCCAGACCAAATCCCAGGCTGGCCCGTGCACTGAAAGCCTTTTTTAGGAGGCTTATTAATCTGTTAGGAATGTCTCAGGAATGAGTCATTTCTTTGAGGGGAAATGTATTTACAGATGGGTGTGTGTGTGCGCGCGCACGCGTGCGCTCTCTGTACATTTCACTTCCATAAAGACTTGAAGCCCAGGCTGGGGGAACCATGTGTTCTTGAGTATTCTTGGAAGTAAACAAGTGACAAGGGGGTTTCTCAAATTAGTGTAGCAGCAAGCTGGCTCTGGGAATGGGCCCCATTTATCAAGCCAAGAGAAGAGTAACAGCAGAAAAGATAGATGAAACCAAAAATATTATGACCCCCAATGGAAAATAATGTTGATTCAGCAATTCCCATTGGATATATTACATGCTCTAATTTATTCTATTATTATTTTGTCTGTTTCTTTAATCTTTGCCCATTTTACTTTTAAAGAGATGTTGGGGTGTTGATTGCAATTTTTAAAGACTAGATAATGTATTAATCAGCTGTGGGAATCAGTTTTAGCTGATGTGTGGATGTGTCTGATTATTGTTAAATGCCTTTTGGGTTTTTTTTGTTTGTTTTAACCTTTTGTTTTAGATATATAATGTCTTCATAAACCCTGGCACTGGTCGCAGAGTTCAGCTGTGAAAATGAAACTTGTAGTATTTTTGAACATGAATGTCAGTTTCAAGTGTATTTGAAATGGTTCCTCCAGTAGAGAGGTTTGTGTATCGGTAGGAAAGACTCCTCTGCAGAGGAAGTAGCCTTCACTGGAGAAAATGGGTCCTGATACGTTATCTCAGAACAGCCCATTTCCTAGGGCACCATGAAAACACAGATGTGATCCTTACATATACCTCTTCCCCAGTTTGGGGAGGAAAGGACTGAGTTTGCACCCTTTTTGTATGTAAAATAAAATGTCTTACCTTTCTTGGCTAGTTCTGCTTGTTGATTTGCTTGGTTGGCTGATTGGTTTGTCCGTTCGTTTTTAGTCTCCCTGGCAGGTTTGTAACTAGGATTCTAGCCAGCACTAACTTTGATGTGATTCAGGCAATCTTGTGAACAAAAATAACTCCTGGTCCTTTGCCATTCACACTCCATTTCTTTGGGTTGAACATTGCCCTCTCCTGTGGGTCACTTTAAATGTTCCTGGAAGAATTTGAACATTAACACTCACGTGTTAGAGCCTGTATCTCTGTAGTTCTCTGGTGGGAGAACACCCGGAAGTCAGGATCTGCCCTGTGGAACACTTTGAAATAGTAGCTTTATAATTCTCTACCACTGAGCAGCATGTATGCAGACAGAAGGTATAACTGTGATGTGTGATATAAAATTACAAGTGCATGTATGGCCACAAAACTGCCAATCTCAGCATGATTGGCCAGTTGCAGTTTTTTCTGTTACCACTCAGTGTTTTCACTGGTAGGCAAGTAAGAACAGATGATCGTGAGAGAAAAACTTCACATCGAGAGCATTTTATCTATCAACCTCATTTTTTCTTCAAAAGTAGGGGGGAGGGGGCTGCTTTTATGACATTTTAGGGTTAGCTCCTCATGTGCTGGAGGTTACTTTGAAAACATGGTTTGGTAAACTTTTTCACAGTGGCTATGAGTGTAAGCAGGTGGGAGACACAAAAAAACAGGTGGGGTGGTGGTTAGGAAGATAGTCATTGCTAATGCAACAATTCTACCTAGAAAAACTTCCACCTGATTGAGGTGCAAGAATTGGAAGTAACAAATGTCATTTGTGTTCAGATAAGAAGACAGTCCACGGGAGCTCCACTGCAGTGATCGCAGGGTAGGGAAGGACAAGCCAGCTGATGCTGGTGGCCGCGCGCAGCCTCACACAGGTCAGCACCTCATACACAGAACGCAAACTGCAGAGTTCAACACTCTGGGCTGCAAAGACTAGGAATCTCTATAAAGTCAGTCTTTGAAAATTCATTTGAAAGATGTTTAATGATGCCATAGGCCCAAATTTTAGAAGGTGTGAATGTTAATTTTTATTCTTCCGGGTTTGTAAGACTCCCAGTACCAAAGTATGTATGTTGTGGACTGGAACATCACCGTGTGTGTGTGTGTGTGTGTGTGCGCGCGTGTGTACCTGACAGTTGTCTCTGACTTTCCTCAAGTTTTCTAGAAAAGGGAGACTTCGGAAGCCACAGGCCAATGCAACCAATATTTGTTGAGCACTTAGTCCTGCAGCTGTGTTGAGGGAGCTGTATACAAAGTAAGTGCAACACTGTTTCTTGCTCACAGAAAATGTAGAATCTACGTGGGAATACAAATATACAAATAGGTAAAGAAAGGACGAACCAGAGTACGCAGTAAAGTGCACTGAGTCATACTGTAGTAAGCACGGAACTCCGGTGGTGCAGTGGTTAAGAGCTATAGGGTCGCAATGAGTCGGAGTCGGCTCGAGGGCAACGGGTTTTTTTTTGTAGTAAGCACAGTAGGGTTGGAGAAGGAAGAGAAAAGGGGTTAGTGAAGTGACAGGGACTAAGTAAAAAAGGAAGTGTAAAATAAGTAGAAAGGAGTTGCTTTAAGTCATACTCTGAGTAAGTACAAAAGTGCTCTGCGTTTTTGGAAGCTACCACTTAAGCCCAATTTGGTGTGGTTAAGAGCTCCCTACTAACCAAAAGGTCAGCAGTTCGAATCCACCGGCCGCTCCTTGGAGATCCTATGGGGCAGTTCTACTCTGTCCTATAGGGTCGCTATGAGTCCGAATCGACCCGACGGCAACGGTTAGTAATTCTTGACTGGCCCAGTACAACAATGACAAAGTGTCTTCTCCCACTGTCCAGGCCTACAGATCTCCTACGTAAAGTATCCGCCGCCACCGGCAAAAAGATTCCCACTCAAAAAAGGCAGAGTGGGCCACAGGGCTGGCCGCTCCGCATGCTGGGGTTTGTAGTCTCTTCAGAGACCCAATCATCGTGCTCTCTGAAGGGGCACCGCCTTTCCCTGCTCCCCTTCCTATTGGTGGGAGTTTGCGAGCTGGGAGTCTAATCAGGTAGCAATAACGTGGCAGCCACCCACAAGGCCGCGTCTCGGGCGGCAAGCCGGGCCCCGCCCTCCGGGAACCTACCATCCGGCGCCGAGGGGGGAAACGGTGCCAGCCTTCCACTCGGAGGCCGGGAGGAACCCCTCTCTCCCCCCGCCTTCTGCTCGGTGGCGGCGCCGAGGCCCAAGCCCCGGCGTCCCCACCCTCTTCCGGCCCTCGGCTCCCCCGCCGCACTCCTTTCTCCCGGTGGATGCTGCGTCTGTCGGAGCGCAACATGAAGGTGCTCTTCGCCGCCGCCCTCATCGTGGGCTGCGTCTTCTTCCTGCTGCTGCCAGGGCCCTCCGTGGCCGATGAGAAGAAGAAGGGGCCCAAAGTCACCGTCAAGGTCCGGGCTCCCTTCTCCCTCCCCACCTGTCCGGCGAGGCCCTTGGGGTCCTCCTTCCTCCGCCAGTTGGGTTCCGGCGCCGCGGGTCAGCGGTCTCCAAGACATTTAGGGCCCCGAGCTCGGGCCTGGGCGTCCTTGGCTTTGGCTCAGCCCCTCCCTAGGCGCCCGGCTTCGGCGTCGTGGCGCCTGAGCCGTCCTACCCTTTGAGACCCGAGAATGACACCCGAACCCCTGCCCAGACTCTGGGAGTCGGCGCTCGGGACGCTCAGCTGCGGCCGGCATTGCCCGCTTCAAAACCATGTTTTTGGGGACTGCCAGCTTCAGAATCCTTTCTCTCTTAAGGCCACGCTTTAGCCACTTCCAGTTACAAAGCATAGCAAATGTGGTTTAAGATTGTATGCTGAGCTTGGGCTTTCTCCTTATGATTTTTTAATGTTAATTTTTAGAATCTGAGCCCATCATTTGTTTGAAGCAAAGATCGCAACCCTGTAGCCTGAGGAGAGCATAAACAAGCATATCATTGGGGAAAAGGGTCTGGAACTTTCCTTAACTCCTGAGATTTTTGACTCCACCAAAAACGTTGAGAACCACCAGTCTAAAGCAGGAAAGAAAAAGAACATAGCTGTGTTTTGTCTCCCATCCCCATGTAGCTTCTATCAAAGGCCCTTCAAAGGGGCTAAGTTTGAAATGGTCTTTTTCCTCAGGTGTATTTTGACCTCCGAATTGGAGATGAAGATGTAGGCCGGGTGGTCATCGGTCTCTTTGGAAAGACTGTTCCAAAAACAGTGGATAATTTTTTGGCCTTAGCTACAGGAGAGGTAAGTGGCTAGAGCAGAGGCAGTCAACGCGGACGGAGTGAGGTTGGCAAATAGGGTTGACAGCCAACTGGACTGCCCATCTCTGCCAGTAACCCCCGACTCAGTACCAACTGACTGTTGCCCCATGGCTCTGGGAACCCAGTATTGTCATATCTTCTGGGGTTTTTTTTAACTGAATACAGAAATCAAGATTTTTTTTTTGGAGTAATTTTTACGTCTTTAAGACACTGCAAGAACCAAAGAAAACATCTGTGAAAGCTGTTTGTGGCCCCTGCACCTGAGTGTCCTCCTGAGTAAGGAGTCCAGAGATTCCCAGGTTTCAGGGGAAGTCGAGTGCCCCATTTAAGCAAGTTTGTGTTTTCTCTGACGTTTCCTTTTTCTGTCTGTTTTCTTGCATCTGATCTTATGACTAGAAGAGATGAGAGGCAGAAGAGGTGGCACTACATGACATAGAACTGTATAAAGTTTGAGACATTACAGGGCAGAGGAATGTGGGTCTCGGCCTTTCCTGGGTCTTCGTGCCCCGTGCCTGGCCCGTGGTGACTGCTCGCCGAGTAGCATGTGGATGGATGAATCTGGCCGGCAGTAGTGTCTCTAGTTGTGTGGGCTGGGTTCCTGCTGGGACTGTTTGATGTCTGCCTGATGTCTCGTGCCAACTCTTCACCTTCCCATCCCGTTTTCTAGAAAGGGTTTGGCTACAAGGACAGCAGATTCCATCGTGTGATCAAGGACTTCATGATCCAAGGCGGAGACTTCACCCGGGGAGATGGCACTGGAGGTAACCTCAGCTCCTCTGGGGAGAGGAGTCTGTCAGTCTCCAGGGTGGGAAGGCTAGGCTGTGTCGGGTAGACAAGGTCTCTCCTTTTCCCAGCTCCAGACAGACCTGTGCTGAGACCAGGTGCACCCTTTTGCGTACATGGAACCCAGTACACAGGAGAAGGAGTAGTGGGGGTCAGGTGGACCTGAGAGGGTCTCTCCCAGGTGGCAGACCTGCTGATCCAGGCCTGTAGCCTGCTGACTTTTCTCTGGATACCTCTTGTGGGGAGGGGAACAAAGCGAAGGTACATATATAGGTAATTCTAGTTCAGGCACGCAAAGCCTGTGTGGGCCACTTTGAAGCCCCAGCCAGGGTGATAGAAATTTCCTTGGCAGTCTCCCACCAGACACTACTCTGTAAGATAGGACAGACAGACAGATACGCTGTACTAACATAACAGGTTTCGCTGTACTTGGATGCACAGCTGCTGTTCCCCAGGACCGTGGGTGCAGTTGGAAAACTGCTCACTTTCAGAGACTAGTTTGTGACCCAGGTCTGTGGTGGGTGCTGAGACCACATGAGGATCATTGGGGGGCAGCTCCCTTTCATCCCAACACGGGAGCCCTCACAGATGAGCCACAGGTCAGCCGTCAGGACGCAGGCTCTGCCGACAAGGTGTTTATCACGTAGGTGGGAAGAACTAGGAGGGAAATCTCTGAAAGCTACGTAACAGTACAAGACTGAAGTAACAAAAGGCCGCAGTGGCAGCGATGGCCCAAAGCACAGCTTGGACTCTTGGAGTCAGACGCTTCCGGGTTGGAGCCAGGGTCCACCTCCTTGCTTTGTGACTGCGGCAAGTGGTTGCAGGCCTCTGAGCTTCGCTTTCCTCCTGTGTAAAGTGAGAGTGCTGAGAGGTGGGGGTGCTGTGAGGATTCGGGGAGATCCTGAGTGTGACGCCTGGCGTGTGGTAGGTGCTCAGTGAAGTGCATCTGTGTTTTTGGAAGCTACCACTTAAACCCAGTTTGGTGGGGTTAAGAGCTCGCTACTAACCAAAAGGTCGGCGGCTCGAATCCACCATCTGCTTCTTGGAAATCCCATGGGGGCAGCTCTACTCTGTCAGCGTGCTCACAGGCGGAGGAGTCACTTCAGGCCAAGCTAGTCAGCAAGCGGCCGTGTGGATGTGAGGAAAGGTTTGCGCCACGTCCCGGATGGGGAGAATTTGAATGGGCAGAGAAGAGGCAGGGTTGAGGTGTGAGGCGCCTCTGTTCTGGGGCAGGAGGTTGGCCAAAGCTAGGGTGGGCTGCGGGTGGGAGTGCCGTACTGCAGGAGTACAGAGAGGTGGGTGAGGGCCAGACCAGGGAAGCTGACTTTGTCCTGCGGGGGTGAGTATCTGCTGGAGACTTGAGTGGGAGGATGACCCAATTGCAAAGGTGTTTGAGGGAAAATAATGTGGCAGGATTCTAGGTGCAGAGGCAGGGTCCCAGCTGTGAAGGCGGGATTCTGGGTGTGGAGGCAGGATCCCAGATGCAGAAGCAGGGTCCCAGGTGTGAAGGCAGGGTCCCGGGTTCAGAGTCAGGGTCCCAGGTGTGAAGGCAGGGTCCCGGGTTCAGAGTC